CTTGGCCCCCCCCCCCCCCAACTCTTCCTGGCAGAACTTTCCTAGCTCAGAAACCTCCTCAGGCCTCTTCCCTGTTGGCCATCTCCCCACAGCCTCTCCGTGACACGTGGGGTGTGAAAGGGCCCCCCGCCCACCCCCCAGGCTCTCTTGGGGGCGGTTGGTGGTTGACGTGGAGGCGTTTCGGGGGCTTCCCTGGTGATCCATCAGATCTGCTTTTGGCTTCCGTGTCTTCGTTGCCTTTGAGGTGATGGCGACCTCGAGTGCCACCTACTCCCCCTTCCCCCTGCACAGTATTTCCTGGGCCACGGGCAGCACACAGCCCCCCTCTTCTTCAGACGTTGCTGGGTTCCTTTTTCACGTCCCCCCCTCTTGGTCCCCCCCCCCCCCCCAAAAAAAAGTATCTTGCTCCATTGCAACTGAGCACTTTGGGCTCCGTGTCCCAAAGTATTTCTGGCTCCTCCAGGTTTGAATCTTGTCCGAGTCCCCTGGGCAAAGGGAGGGGGCTGGGTTTCTTTTGGACAACCATCCCAGTGATGGTTGAATAAGCCACGGCTGCGCTGTGGGCCAGGAGGCGACATTTCCAGGAGCAGCAAACTTTTCCGCCGGTTCTCTGCAGTGATTTGTGGACCTGGTTTGCCCGTCAGATTAGATTTCAGGCGGTTTTCATCTTCTGAATCTGTAAATAATTGCACGCAAGTGTTTCGATATGCCTTCTGGATGATTGAAGGGTGTCCTCCTTCTCTTTGCCCCATCCCAGACTGAAGGGGCTGAGCCGACGGGGCTCTCCGAGCCGAACACTTTGCTGCACAGCTCCTAAAGGCACCGCTTAAGCCACGCCAAGGACATGAGCTGCTGAAAACGTATCTGGTGCCCAAATTCACACTCAAGGTCATAGCAGGTCAGGCACATCACGACCCCCTGGAGAAACTGGAGTGCCTGCTTTGCTCCACAGTGAGACCCCAGCTGCCACCACGAAAGGATTCTCTCCTGAGCTACTTCCAACCCATGTCAAAGACGGAGGTTTGGGGGACCCCGGCTTCTCCACCTGGATCCCCTTTGGCAGGAGGCCCCATCTGAGGAGACTGCACTGAACCCCCTCACACTGTGTGACATCCTGCTGTGACACAATGCCCTTCGCTCCACGGAGGGGAGGCTTAACAAGCCGTGCAAAACGAAGTCTACAGTCGTCATCACCAGGGCAGAAGTGCGAGTCGAGGGGAGGAAGCCGCTCTTGAAATCCATCGGTGGCCAAGACTGGAGTACCCTGGATGTCACGCAGCCGGTCAGGAGTGGCTCTTGTGTCTCTCCTGGGTGTTCCACCCCCTGCACTTATGGGCAATCCAGCCGAGGGGCTGCCTTCTCCACTTCACGTAGAGGAGCGTGTGAGGGGTTTGCTGCCACGTCACCCACAAGGGCTGCCGAGGAGTCTGCTGTGCCCCCCAAACCCTCACCTGCCTCCTGCACGTCTACGAACTCACTCGAAATGCAAGATGTGCACGACACAAGCGTGTCCTTCAGCACCCTGAAGAGCTCCTGTGCAGAGAAAGTGTCCCTTCCTGGGTCGAACCCATCGTCCCATCCACTTAACCTTTCATCAAACCGGACCTGATTGTGCGCAGGAGCCAGCGGTGGGTCCTTGAGACCTCCGTGGTCGCTGGCTGCTGGGTGAGAGAGGCCAGGACTTTGATACCACCAAATATGGACATCCTGGCTGTGTCGCCAGCCTTCATCCCTGGGCTAAAGCTTCCGCTTCCATTCCAGGACACCATCTGCCCGTCCTAACCTCCAAGTGGGGATTGTTCTATGTCTCACCGGGGGTGGACTTGGAGCTTTGGGCTTGAGGGACATTCTGGACCTGTGTTCACTCACCATCGGCCGCTTGCTCAACTGCTACAAGCTGTACATGCGTCAAACCAAGGCTGAGTGTTCCTGAACTGTAAGAATCTACCTGTGACCTTATATGACCTGCTGGCAGTGACAAACCGCTTTCTCACCTGGCCAGATCCCACCGTTGTCCTCCCTGCCCTTCTTCTGGTGGTGGGGGTTCTTTGTGGTAGAGGGGGCTGATAGTAGAGCAGCTCAATAAAACACACCAGCTGTGTTGGCCACGTAATTTCTGCCTGGTGCAGAGATTCTACACAAGCAGGAGCCGAGTAGACCAGCAATTTGCTTACAAATAGGACAGTATCCAAATTGTAAAAGAGTACCACAAAAGACAGCTGCAAAACGAGGGTTGCACTGAACTAAACCAGACGTTCCAAAGTAAAATTGCAATCACAGAAGCGCTTACCAGAGATGAAGTTGCTCTGTTTTAGATTTTCAATTAGATGCCTTGTGCGCCGTTAGGTGTGTGGGCCACCCACTTGGTCCACTGGATTTTGTCTCAGTCCTCCTGAACTCACAGTGAGCAGCCTCTGGAGCTAGGCCGATACAACGCAGACGCAACCAGAGACTCTCGATACGGCTGTCTAGCAGCGAAGTATATCGCCTTAGAAGGCTGACTTGTCAGGGGAGGAAAGGTTTCTGTTAAACTATTCATTTTGTGGTTCACCTGTCTAAAAATAAAATGTTACCTTGCCAAGTTTGGAGACTCACTTTTAACGCCCTCTCAGCCTTTTGGGAATTGCCCCCTCCAGATCACGGGAGGGCAGTTAATTTTCCCAAGGGGCCACATGACAAACTGGAACTGTTGTGGAGGACCTTCCCCCCCACTGGCACTGCCCTGCCCCACACCCCACAGCCACCCCCCCAGCCAACACCCCACTTCCACTGATGCCACCTCCCCCCGTGCTGCAGCACCATTGCCCTGCCTTCTGCCGAGACCTCACACACACACACCCCACTGCCAAAACACCAACAGCTGCTACTCACGCACCGATGCCAACGCTGCAGGACAGACTGGGACTCCCTGCAGGCTGGACGTGGCCCACAAGCCACAAAATGCCCAGATTCTGGTATAAAGGGTACGACTCTCGTGACAGACAAGGCCGAGATCCTGCAGAGGTGGGCTGGACTCTTGGAAGCCGTCCTTAACCGATTTGACACCTATGAATGATGAGGCGACAGACAGACAGGGCTGCCCAGGCTGGCACCATCAAGGAGGAGGATCACCACTCGTAGAAGTCATGAAAACTGCCAGCCAGCTGTCCAGTGGCAAAGCCAGAAGGGCAGGGGCCACATCTGCCCAGGTCTACAAAGTTGGTATTGTATTTGTAGAGAAACTCACCTGAGTTTTCTCAAAAGCAAGAATCCATTCTGCAGGAAGTTAAAAGATGCACCCACTGTACACCTGTACAGGAGGGTTAAACAACACGCATGCGACGACCAACGAGGAATCTCGCTGCTCTCCAAGCCAGGAGAAATCATTGCAGGGTTGTTTTTTCTGGTCATACATCTGGAACTGGAGCTGTTGCCAAAGGACCCCTCAGTGTGGCCCCCAGAAATATTGTGGGACTGTCGGTGCCAAGAGAAGGATCAGGAGCAGAATTGTGAACTCCGCACAATCTTGGTTGACCTCACAACAAAGCCTTCAATGGGTCACCTCACAAGGCACATGAAAGATCACGTCAGAACTCGGCTACCCAACTTACTCATTCAGGTGGTGCGCCAGTTCCTTGATGGCCAATGGCTGCCGGATGGTGGGGGATCCTCCCAGGCACTCCCAGTCCCCAGTGGTGTTAACTGGGTGCTGTGCTGGCACCCCCACCGTTCAGCACGATGTTTACTTCAGGTCTTCCTGTGCCTTTCGGGACAGCCAGGCTGGAATCAGCCTCAACTACAGAATGGATGGGCCACTCCTCCACCTGAAGATGTGGACGGAAGATTCACTCCGCTGTGTCCAACTCTTGGCGATTTTACGGTCCAGGTCTCTCCCCGTCTTCCAGTATTGCGCTACGTCTCCGGAGTTTTCCTATGCTCTGGTTGGGGTCAGCCTGGAGGGTGTCCTGCTCTTCAACCTCGGAGACTTCAAATGGTCACCAAAGTGAAGGAAAGTCTGCTAGGCGGCTCCCTCTCTGCCCACGATTGCGCCCCAAATGCTGCCTCAGATGCCAATCAGCATGGACGGTTCTCTACAGCTTGTGCCAACTTTTGGACTCACCGTTCCTATTCGAAGACCCTGCGCCAGCCTGCTCCTCCTCATGCAACGCACACAGAACCCACCGCCACAATCAAGAGGCCGTTCGGAGCACTTCAGGCCCCTTGGATACCCCTGTCCCAAGCAGAGACCGTTGAGATGGACCTCAACGGCAGGAGAGCGAAGTTGTGCTTTCGGTAGATGGTGCCCCACTGGGGGGTGGGGGGAAGGCCGAGGAAGCCACCCAGTCACAAAACGAAGGGCTGCCGAGCTGTGGAGGCCAGGTCCTTTCCCTGTGCCTGTATCAGCCTGCAAGACACCCGGGGCGCTTCCAGGTGAGTGGCCTTCGCAGACTACTGGGCCTCAGATGGGGAGATGAAGTACCAGGGAGCAAACTTCTCTCCAGAGCAGGCCTACCATCTGGAGGGCAGCTCATGCCCCCCATGTGCCAGACTACACACCCAAGCAGCTTTTTTTGGGGGGGGAGGAGAAACACCCACATGGAAGGGAGAAGCAGCTCCACGAGGACACCTGAAGGCCCCCCTGAGGTTGTTGGACACAGCCAACTGGGAAGCGCTGGCCCAAAAGCACCCTACGCGGCGTGGCCTCGTCCACAAGGGCTGCCAAGCCTACAAAGCCGAGTGCACTGCGGAAGCCAGCAGGGGAACCCGTATGGTGCCTACACCTTTCCCCCTTGCCTAACCTGTGCCAGGGCAAAGGTTTGAGGCCCTGTGCCGGACCATAGTCCGTTCAGAACCGGGCCATGGACGTGGTGGGCGAGTGCACGGGCACAAAGCAGCATTTGTGAAAGTGGCATTCCTCCCCCCCCAGCCACTTCTGCCCGTCTGCCACGCCCAAAATGTTGGGGGATGCTGTGTCAAGACCTTCTGTGGGGCCTGCACCCCCACATTGAGTTGTGTACTAGTGTTGAGATCTATATTGACAACGATGGACAAACACACAACAACCACGCAGAGGCAGTGAGTCACTTTCGCTTCACTCCACTATTCTCTGAAACACCCGAGTCGGTCAGGGCTGCCTCCCCTTTTCATGCGGATAGGTCAACCAACCCGATCGTGGGGTCTGTCTTGGGCAAGAAATTGGGCTGTCAATCATGCCAAAGGATGCGATGCACTTCCAGGCTGACCCAGGAGGCATTGCCTCCATTTTATTACAAAAAGTCACGTCCTCCTGCGCTCCCTGGACGCCGGGGGATCTGCTTCCAACCAAGTCACGGGACGCACCCAGTGATGCCACCCCCACAGGCGGCGACCCGTTCCCGGCAGGGCTCACGGGGAAGGGGGCGGCCCCCCCACCTCCTGAGGGGTCTCAGATTTTTCCTTACTCCTTCCAACTGAAACGCTGAAGCTGCTCACCACCTTCCCTTCCTTCCTTCCTTCCTTCCCACGAACATGCATGATTCCTACCAAGACCGCCCCTCCCTGCCCCAAAGCTTTGCCCAATGTTGCACTGGAACCGGCCGGGCTGAGCCCAAGGTGGCCTGGCCCTCCCTCTCTGCCCTCCTCCGCGGAGGCCGCTGGGCCTCGGGGGCTTTCCAGAAAGAAGCTCAGAGGGATCCGGCCACACGATGGCCATAGGCAGCAGAGCTGCTCGGGGGGCCTCCGGCGTGTGTCACCCGCTGTTGGAGGACGTGTGCGGGGCGGTGGAGGGAGACTTCCGCCGCTGCGTGGGGGCCCACAGAGTGCGCTCCGAGCCGTGGAGCCGGGGCAGGGCCCGGTGCTGCTGCTGCTGCTGCTGCTGCTGCCGCCAGATGGCTTGGCTCACCAGGCCCGGCAGCGCATGCAGGGTGAACCCCAGCGTGTCAATTTTGCCCTCCAGCGCACTGATGCGCTTCTCCAGGTCTTCGTTGCGCTCCTGCAGCTCGGACACCATGTCGTACATGATGTTCTGGGTCTGCCGAGGGAGAGAGAGACGGGTTACCTCACCTGGCGTGGCTTCCTTTGGGGGGGGGGGCTCCCCTGGGGAGCAGAGGGGGGGTGGAAGAGGGGCAGGAGCAGCAGCTCCCTTGGTCAGTGGGGCACGCTCCCAGCGCAGCCCCCGGGCTCCGTCCAGCACCCTCCGTGGCCAGGACTGGCTTGAGGGCTGAGGCATCCTATAGCCTTCCCCTGTAGATTTCCCCTAGGCATAACTGCTGGGTTGTCCAATCTGTGACCTTCAGGGCTGGAAGGGACCCTGGAGGTCTTCTAGTCCAGCCCTCCCTGCCCAAGCGGGAGACCGCAGCCTCTTCTCGGAAGTCACCCGGGATGGAGCCCCTATTGCTCCCCTGGGGAATCGGCCCTCAACACGAACCAATTTGAAAACAAATTAGCCATTCAACTTTAATTAAAGCGGCTTTTGAGAAGAGACTGGATGTCCATTTGGCACAGGGGCTGAGCAGGGGGCTGGACTAGAGGACCTCCAAGGTCTCTTCTCACAACTCAAGGAAACGGAACCCTTGGCAGTGAGTGTCGCATCGACTGTCGGCTGCCCCCGGTCTGAAAACGAAGATATCGGTGGCCAACACGCTCGACGGCAGGGAGGGGACAGGCGGCTCCACCTGGGAGCCCCAAGGGAAGTCGAGGGGGGGGGAGGACACGGTGCTTGAGAAATGGGGGGGCTCAGGGGTGTCGCAAAACATGCTCAAAACCTACCACGGGGGCAGCCAGGGGGGTCGATCAGAATTCCACCTGTGCTTTGTCTAAATGTTATCATGCCCCCCCCCCCAAGACACGGAACAGGAGGCGGCTTTCCAAGCGATTTGGGGGGTGGGGGGGCTAAACCTTCGCGACCGTTGTTTAATCAGGGGGAGGAAGGCAAATATAAGGGTCCCGGTGACCCTCCCCCCTTGCCTTCGACAAAGTCGCTCGGTGCCAGGGGCCCCATCCGAGGGGGGGGCGAATCCTCCCCAGAGCCCCCCACGGCCACCCAGGGGCTGAGACGGGGGGGGACAGGGGGGGGGCAGAAACCTCCTCCGGCCTCCCTGGTCCCCCCACAAACCTTGGAGAGGTCCACCAGCATGTTGGCCTGGTCACTCAGCTTCCTCTGCTCCATCTTGACGCTCCTCAACCTGGAAGGCAAAATCCGGGCTCACCCTCCTCCTCTCCCTCACCCCCCCCCCCCCCCGCACTTAGACACAAGCCGGGCGGGAGGAGGGGAGGAGCTTCCCCCGGGACCCCTGGCCTGGGAGGGGCGCCCCCCGCTCTTTTCTCTGGGGAGGGCAGGGGACGAAGACCCTCCCTCCCTCCTCCCCCCGCCAGCTGCCTTCCTTCTTCCCTTTAATTCTCCGCCCTTTTGGGGCCCCCTTCGGGGTCCCCCCCCCCCCCAGGCCACAGAACCAGTGGCGTTTCTGGCTGGGCAGCCCCAACTGCTGGGTGGGGAAGGGGACCCTGCTGCCCCCGACCCCCCCACTTTCAGGGGCCAGTCGCCCCATTGCGGCTTCCTTCCCTGGAGAACCAGGGGGGGCATTTGGGGGGGGCAGAGTCCCCCATGGCCCCAGGGGAGCCTTCAGAAACAGGTTGGCAGCAGCCCCGGGGCCCTCCGGGGCCACCAGGAGGTCCGCCCAGGGGCCATTGAGCCGCGTGGCAGGAAGGGCCAAGGGAGGAGGAGCCGCCATCCACGCCCCTGGTTCGCGCAGGGCCGGGCGGTCCTGGGACCGAGCGCTGTGCCGGGTGGCAGAGCCTGGCGCTCCTTGGGGGTCAAATTGTGCCAAGGCCGCCAGCGGGCCTTCCTTGCCCAGAGCAACAGAGGGGCTCCAGCCCACCCACCCCCACCCCCCCCCCCCCGCCAAGCCCAGCCGGCCCTGCCCCCCCGCCCCCACAAGCCCCCCACCACCCCAGCTGCCTCTCCTGGAGACTTAGCCTGAGGCCCCCTCCTCCACCAGGCCCCTCTTAAGGCCCATCAGCATAGAGCCCGAAGGGACCTCCGAGGTCTTCTAGTCCAGCCCCTGCTGAGGCAGGAAGCCCTCCCCCCCCCAGGCAAGAGGTTGTCCCGCCTCTCCGTGGAAGCCCCTCCGGGGACGGAGAAGGGCGCAAAGGCAGGGAGGGGCCTCGCCCGGGACCCACCCCTGGAGGTCCCCAATGAGGGGGAGGGGCTCCCTCCTGGATCCCAAGGGGGGGGGAGGGGCAGGAAGCAGGTAAACGGGGGGACTTACTGATGGATGGCTTGGAGGAACTTACGCTGGTGTTTCCGCACCTTCGCGTGGTCGAGTTTTCTCACCAGCTTGGTGTGTTTGTAGATGAGCCACGTTTCCCTGAGCACGTTGGCCGCTGAGTTTTTCACCTGGGGAGGTCGGGGGGGGGACACAGACAGGTGAGAAGGGAAAGCCGCCCCCTCCCCCCCCCGAAGGGCAAGGGAAGGGAACCACAAGGGGCTCTTCCTCCCTCGGTCCCCACCCGTTCATCCGTCTTCCCTGGGGAGGGGGCTCCAAAGTCTGGGGTGGGAGAGGTTCCCTTCCCATGGATCCTGGGGGGGGGAGAGGCTGTGCAGAGACACCCCCCACTCAAAAACAGGAACAGGGAGGAGCAACAGGGGGCACCACTCTGCCCCCACCCCCAGAGAGACAGGCCAAGGGGGAGCAGTGGGGGGGGATCAGGCTTTTGAGCCTCTGAGTGGCCCCAAGGAAAGGCCAAGCAGTGGGGCGCCCCGCGTTTGCAGAGGAGCCCCCCCCCGTCCCAAAGTCAGGAGGGATCAAGTGGATCTCCCTCGGGGGAGGGGGCCGCTCAGAGGGGCCAAGGGGTCTCACCCGCTTTGTCAGTTGTGTGTCCATCATGAAGTTGTGGACGTGTTTCTCCGCTTTGGTGAGTTCCAGCTTCCGGGCCACCACGGCCACCACGAGGGCTGTGCACCCCGCGCCCTGAAACACCACGGGGGGGGGGGGGGGGCGGGGGCCCTTCCCCCGGGGGGGGGGCGGGAGGGGGGCCCCCCAAGCCCATCCACCCCCCCCCCCACCCCCAGCCGGGCAGGGACAGGAACGTGGAATCCGGCAGAGCTCTCTCTGCACGGGGAGTCCTCCAGCTACGGCCCCATCGGAGCCCGACCTTTTGGCCTCTAAGCGAGACCCTTGTGGAGGGCATTTGGCCCCCGTTAGCAGCCTTTCTTGCCACGGCCATTCAATGGACCGCTGCAGTTGTGAAGTGGGCCCCCCAGTTGTTAAGTGAATCCGGCACCCCCACGGCCTTGGCACACGTTTCCCAAAGGGGGTCCCATCACCCAGGGACACCGTGGCCGTCGTAAGCACGGGTCAGCTGCCAAGCGGCCGGGACCCCTGGGGAGGCTGCCACAAGGGTCGCAAGTGGGGGAAATGGTCATAAGTCCCTCTCTTCAGGGACGCTGCAACTTCGAACAGCCGCTAAATGAATGGTCATAAGTCAGGTCTGTCTGCATGTGTGCAGGGAAGCAAGAATTGAAGCCCTGCTAGGTTAGATTTCTCCCTGCAGGGAACTTTGCCTCTCCTTCTTGTGCACAGAAACCGTCAAGGTGCAAAGGGCTGCAGTGCCCCTCCCCCCCTTCACGGGGCCCCTCAAGCCTCTTTGGGGACACGGGGGGGGCATTCTTGGAGGGGGGAACAGGCCCGGGGATGGGGGGGGGGCGCTGGATGCAGGTGGAACGATCGGATTGGTTGGAAACCATCTCAGAAACAAACTTTGGATGATGATGATCTGATCACACACGCGCACACACACGCACACACACACACACACACACGCATGCGGAGTGTGTGCCAGTGTCCTCCAAAGCAAACTTCTTCCGCTCTTGGCGGAGCTGCTCTTCCGTCTCTCGCTCAGGGTAAACTTCATGGATCTTAGCGCGAACCGATTGATCGGGGGCTGCCTTGTAGAAAGGGGCACTTTGGGAAAGTCCGGGTTGCCCTAGATGACCTTGGAGGGCCCCTGGGGAGGGGAGGGGAGGCCGAAGCGGAAGCCTTACCATAATCCCAGTGAGCAAGCAGACCCCCTTCCCGCAGTAGGTGTGGGGCACCATGTCCCCGTAGCCGATGGAGAGGAAGGTGATGGAGATCAGCCACATGGCGCCCAGGAAGTTGCTGGTCACGTCCTGCTTGTCGTGGTACCTGCGCGAGGGAGAGGGGGGGGTCAAGCCTCAGGTGCCCCCACCCCCAGCAAACGGGCCCCCACCGGGGGCTTCCCCAGGGCGGCGCTGCCCTGCCTCCTCCTTCAGGGCAAAGTCCTCGCCTCACCCCAGGGTCTGGGCACGCGGGCTGGGCGTCATGGGCACCGGAGTCCAACCCAGCAGCAGGCCCAGATCTTCAAGAGAGTAACAGAGTTGGAAGGGGCCGTGGAGGTCTTCTAGCCCACCCCCCTCCCCTTTCAGACAAGCGACGGTGGTCTAAACTCCTTAACAGCCTCCCCCGCGTTGGAGGCTGCGCGGCGTCTGCAGGCCACTCCGCTTCCCCTGCCAGAAAGTTTCTCCGGAGTCGCAGGTGTTTCTCTCCTGGAGGTGTTTCCACCTGTCGCTTGGCGCCCTGCCCTCGGGGGCTCTGCAGAAGGGATGCCCCCCCCTCCTCCTCCTCCCTGGGGCAGCCCCTCAGATACTGGAAGGCTGCTCTCAGGCCGCCCCTCATCCGGGGTGGGATTCAAATGGTTTGATCACCGGTTCAGTGGGCGTGGCTTGCCTAACACCTGCCCCAGGTGAGGCTCTGCAGCTGGGAGGAGGAAGAGGAGAAAGGCGCGGGGGGGGGGGGGGGGGGGGGGGGCCGACCCTGCCCTTTCCCCCCCTTTCAGCTGATCGGCGGGGGCTTTTTTTTTGTTTTCCTTCCAGGTCGGCCCAACCATTGAGAACCGGTACCCCCCCCCCCCCAGTGCCCCGATTCTTCTTTTCTCCAGAGCAGCCAACCCCAAATTCTTCCTATGGTTTAGCCCCCCCAGCCCCCCCTAATCTTCTTTCTCTGCACTTTTTCGCAGAGTCTCGGTGTCTTTTTTTATACCGTGGCGACCAAAGCCGGACACAACCTTCCGCCTCTGGTCTCGCCAAGCACAGAACGAAGCGCCACGGACCCTTGAGGGGCCTTGATAGACGGGGGGGGCTTCCTGGCCTTTGCCCAGCTCCGTCTTTGGGGGCATGGGGGGCTTCCCCCACCCACCCCCGGCCTCCCCTGCCGCGCGAGGGGGGCTCCTACCTCTCGCAGACGCGCACCGTCCAGGCGGCGATGATCCAGGAGGAGATGCTGAAGACCAGCAGGACGGTGCCGGGGCAGATGGTCATGAGGGTCTTCATGACGAAGCGGGTGTTGAAGTTGATCTTGTTCAGGGCGCCGATGCTGCGCGAAGAGGCGTCCGTGAAGAGCTTGCTGTGCAGCAGCATCACCCGCCCGATCAGGTAGAGGCGCAGGAACATGGGGATGGAGAGGGTGATGTCCACGTCCGTGCTGGCCTCCGAGGTGGCGTAGGTGAAGGCCAGGCGGGTGGTCCAGGTGAAGAAGTACTGGCCGGGGATGGGGTGGATGGCACAGACCAGCAGCTCCAGCGCGATGAAGAAGATGCGCTCGAAGGTCATGGCGATGCGCCAGTCGTCCGCCCCGTTGTCCACCATGAAGAGCTGGAGGACAGGACGTACAGGGGGGGGGGGGGGTGGGGGGGGGGGGTGGGCTCTGGGGTCAGCCGCTTGGCCCGCCCCTGCCCCCAATGCTTCTCCGGCTCCTCCCAAGGCTGTGGGGAGGAGGAGGGGGGAGGGGGAGGGGAAGAGCTACACAAAGGGTCCTCACTTTACAACCGTTCCGCTGGGGACACATCGGCCCTGTGAAAGGGGACCTGGCGGTTATTCACTCTGATGACCATTGTTCTCCTCCCATAATGGACGTTCGTATCCCTGGTCCCCGGGTTGTGTGATTCCCCTTTTGCGACCTTCTAGGGAGCCCCGCCCAGGAGGAAGCCGGATTCACTTAACAACCCTGTTCCTGGTTTAACAATGTCAGGGACTCCGGGAACAAACGGGACGGGGAAAGTCGTAAAATGTGACAAAAGCTACGGAATGACGAACAGACCCAGGTAGGGCTCAGAAGTGGGCGGGGGGGGGGCTGGAGAGCCGGACAGGCTCAGAGAGAGGCGGGGGGGGCAACATGGTGACCGAATTGCCCCATCCGCCCCTCGGTTGTCCCCCCAGCAAGGGGAGCTCAAACCTGGTTTCTTTTGGGGGGCTTGTTTAAAGGAGGCGACGTGGCGGCTTCTTCTGCTTACGGTGCCAGAAAACCCGCCCGCCCCAGCCAGCCTCCCCGGGCATCGGCCCACAGCAGAGGCGCTTCGGTGCCTGCCTGGCAGCGGGCCAAGGGCTTTGAAGGCAGGCCAGCCTCCCCCCGCCCTCCCCACGGCCGGGCAGACCCCGAGGCCCAGCCCTCTGCCCCTCCTGGGCCCCCAGCCTGGGAGGCCTGGAGCTGCCCGGCTGCAGGGGCCTCACCTGGATCTCCCGGGCGTGGTACATGAGGATGAGCCCCAGCAGGATGGCGGTGGAGAGGCTGATGAGGCATTTGAGGGCAAAGGAGTAGGAGGAATCCTGGCACACAGAGAGAGAGAGAGAGAGAGAGAGAGGCGGAGGGCGTCAGGCAGGCAGGAGCCCCACCGGCCACAGAGGGGCTCCCGTGGGTGAAACAGGGACTGTCCTGGGGGAGAGGATTGGGAGGGGGGGTCCCTTCCACCTCCTGTGCCCCAGGGGAAGCTCAGGAGGCGAGGTGGGGGGCTCCAGAACAGCCCCCCCCGGGCCTCGTGCGGGGCTTCCGTCCGGTCCGCAGGCCTCACCTTGGAGTAGATGCCCCAGGACAGCTCGGTCTCCGTCACCATCACCACGATACCGAACATGCCGAAGATGAGCGCGTAGTCGCTCAGCCGCTTGCGCTTCTCGAAGAGCGCCCTCCGGTGGCCCAGCCGGTGCCCGACGTTCTGGTTCCTCTTCGGGGGCCGGTTGCGCCCCCCGGGCCCCCTCTCTTCCTCCTCTGCCCCGCCGTCCAGATGGGGCTCCGACGCGGCCTTGGAGACCACCACCTCCAGGTCGGCCTCGGGGGGGAAGGTCTGCAGCGGCTGCGTCTCAGCGTCCAGCTCACGCAGGTGGCGGGGCGAGACCCCCAAGCGGCCCAGCGGCCCCAGGGCCCCCCCGTTGTGCCGGCAGCTGTTCATGGCTATCTCGGTGAAGGGGCTGCACTCGCCGGCCGGGCGCCTGGACCCCCCTGCATGGCTCAGGGGGGGGGCAATTTGCCTTCACCTGGGAGGAGGAAGAGGAGGAGGAGCCCGTCAGCCCCCAGTGTGGCCCACGAGGAGACCCCCACCCCAAGCGTTTCAGGCCCCCGCCGGACATGGAACCAGCCTGGCCAAATGCGCCCTCAACTTATGACCCCAATGGAGCCCAACACTGATGTTGCTCAGTGAGCTCTGACCCACTTTACGGCCTTTCTCACCACTGTCGTTAAGCGAATCACTGCACATGGCAACAGGGCTGTTAAGGGAACCTGGCTTCCCCACGAACACCTGTCAGGAGGTCACCAGGGGGCATCCCATGACCCCCCCCCCGGAGACTACGACCCTCACAAAGACGACTCCGCTGGCTCAGCCCACCCAAACCAACCCGCCTCCTCTCCCTGCCAGCCTAGCAGTCAAAGCCGGGGCTGCCAACCAGCCGTTCATCACACACATGACACACACACACACACAGAGGATCAGCCAGCCTCTGCCAAGGTGGGACTCCGTCCGGCAAGGCTTCCTCCATGGGCACAACACCCGCCCGCAGGAGCCTCCCCTCCTGGCACAGAGGAGCCAGTGCCAGGGGCTTCTCCTCTCCGGCACTGGCGGGTGGCCCGCAGGGCATCAAAATGCCCCAACCCACCCACAGAACGGCGGCCAGCCAGCGTGCCGGCTGCCCTGGACTGCCCAGACCCGCTTCCTGCACACCTGACGGTGCTCCAGCCCCCCCCCTTCTTATCCGCCGGTGAATGGGGGGGGGGGCGGGAGGGGGTGACCAGCGAATAAAGATAAATAAATAGAAAGAGAGTTAAAACTGGGCCGTCAGGAAGATGGGAAGATACGGGCCTGCAGGCAGGGTGGTGATCAGCCAGGGTTCCCCCTGGGCCATTGCCTGAAATGTTTGAGGAGGGGTTGGACTAGAAGACCTCCAGGGTGCCCCCCCCCCACAGTCTGTTATTCTGTGATTGCCAGGTGTTATTGCCTCAAGGGTATGGGAAGGGAGGCAATGGGGAGGAATGGAGGAAGAACACACCCACCCCCGCACACACACACACGCGCACACACACACACACACACACACGCTGCCAGCAAAGGGCCTGCCATGCCAGCCAGGCCGGGGGGTGGGGGAGGGCTGCAGGGGGGGGCACCTAGTCTGGGCCCCAGAGGATCCAAGTCGGCATGCAGGTGGTGCCAGTCCCTCCTCGCATGAAGAGCAGCCGCCAAAGGAAAGGAAGGGGGGCCCTGGGGGGGGGCGCCCTATTTACATGACCCCCCCAAAACTTCCTTCCGTTCCCTCCACAGTGGCCTCGGCCCCCCAACCCGCCCGGCTGCTGGCAACGTTCTTGAAGAGGGTCTCGGGGGGGGGGGGGGGGGGGGGTTTCAACTGGGGAAGGGCGGGGGCGGGGAGGGGGGGGGGGGGGGGGCGCCAGGGGGGGGAGGTGGGGGGGTTGCCCCCCCCACGCCCCCAGGCCCCCCCCAGGGACAAAGGCCTCCCTTGACCTGAAGGGGGAGGGGGGGAGTTGAATCTAGACCAACCAGGTAGCAAAGCTGAGAGGATTCCCTCCCCCCACCCAGCCCCCACCCCCCTCAGAGGGGAGGTCCGGGACAGCCCTGGCCGGGAACGCTGGGCATTGGAGTCTGCTAGGCCAGGGAAGGGGACGGCTGCCTCAAAGGCGCCCCTGAGGCCTCGCGGCCTCTTCTGCAGCCGGAAGCGCTTCTGGCCCAGAGCCCTGGAGGGACCCGGGCCTCCCCCCGACCCCCCCCCACCCCCCCCCCCCCAGAGACCAGGGCCCCCCCGCCTGTGGGGGTCCGAGGGTCCGGGTCTCCTGCCGCTCCTCCTTCCAGGTCTGGGGTCCGCCCCCTCCAGCCCAGGCCCGGGGGGGGGGGCAACTGGCTTGCTGGCGCCCAGCGCAGGGGGGGGGGGCTTTGAGGAGGCCAACCTCAACCGCCAATGCCAGGTGCGGGTTAGGAACACCTGAGGTGGGGAACTACAACTCCCACCATCCAGAGCTAGGACAGCTGGCTGGGGGTGATGGGGTCGTAACTGGGGATCCTGGTTCGGTGGGAACAGGCTGTTCCCTCCAATTGCAACAGCCCCCCCTCCCCCCCCCCCCAAAAAAACCCCTGCAATATCCAAGCAGGGGCCCAGTTCAGCTCACGGGTCCTTCAGCCCCAGAGCAAAGCTTGCAATCCGGGGCAGACTGAGCCCACCCCTCACTTTTCCACTTCCAAGGACATCTTGACCTTCCCCCCCCCCAGAAGCAGCAGAATCCCCCCCACACACACACACACAGGGAGCTGGGCCTGCTCTCTGCCTCCGGGCAGGACTGGGCCCAGGGACGGAGGGAGGGAGGGAGGGAGGGCCAGGCCGGAGCGCCTGCACCTGGTCGTTGGGGACAAATGGGTCTCCGAGCAGCACGCCTGAGCCGTGGGTGCCCAGGAGGGCATCCAGCTGGTCCGGCAGGGAAGCGGAGGAAGACATGGCCTGGGGAGGGGGCACAAAGGGCCACAGGGGGTTTCCACACCCAGCAGCCACCCCTCCTTGACTGGGGGAGGGGGGCGAGAGGGACGGGCCCCTTCAGACCCACTTCAAGGGGGCCAAAGACACCTGAGTGGCGGAGCCTCCTTGTCCAAGGGCAGTCTACCTCGGGCCTCGGAGGCGGCACGCATTTCCAAAGCTTCCCACGGCACCTGAGACGCCGCTCCCCCCCCCCCGCGCCTCTGCAGCCCCGGGCCCAACGGGGCTCGGCGATCCCGGGGCGGGGGGCGGGGGGGGCTACCGGGTCCGGACGACGCAGCCCCCCCCCCCGGCCCGC